TAAATTATTCTCCTAATCTCACTAATCATCCCTCCCTTTCCCATATTTGTAACCACTGATGACTAACCAACAACAACAACAGATCCAACAAATAAAATTCCAACAAACACTAACCACCAACCAATATTAACCAGCCTCTGTATTGATCAACCCATTACCTAACCTACTTGCCTAACATGACCTTCAAAGTATGTAGAAGCTATGTAAGACCCATTGCATTTTTAAGCTACTGACCTCTAGAGTTATATAACAACTGAGAATTTCTAGATAGTTCTTTTAACATTATAGGGGGGAGACAAACAAACAAACAAACAGGTGCAAGCTGGAAGCTTGATTCATGTATTATGGCAACAAGAGGTGGTAAAGAGTTCATGTTTTGTTTTTCTAGGAATAAGAAGATTCGCCTTATCAAACCAAGGGATTTTTCTGCAGAAATATTTCAACACGAAAAAGTCTTTTCCTTTTTGAGAAGCTGGAAGGTGGGAAAGATGGGGAATGGAGGCTTGCACAACAATAAATCACTGAAGTATATGAAACGAGTTGTGGGGTTGGGAAATTCTATTGAAAGCAGAACTTGGAAACTGAAATTAGAAGAAACTCTACCTATGCCATACTTTCAATATACTAAAATTCCTCAAAAGAACAATGTAAGAATGTTCATTTTCTCCCAAGATTTTGGAATCTAGAGGGCAGTTTGGCATTTAGCTCTGTAGAATAGCTATTAAAAACCATGATTAAGAACCAACAAAAACAAGAGAACAGTAAGCTAAACCCTCTGTGTCCTGAAAAACAAAAGACAGTTTTTGAGAAGCGACTTCCAAACAATCACGATACTTAAAACCATTCCACAGGATTCACTAGCCTACCATCAGCCACGTACAAAAACTTCAAACAGGCGGTACAAATTCTCTAAACAAAACAGTGAAAAATGGTGCTTCGACCTTATGCCTTAATAAGAACAGAATCTCACCTAACCATACAGACAGAACGAATAGTGGGATTTTTTTTTATATTTATTATTGGTTAATGTCTCTCTAAGGCAAAGTCTGCTGAAATTTCAAAATGAAGGCAATGAATTGAAAAAGGCAACAGACAGAATCACTGACCTCTTGTTCCTTCTCTAAGGGCCTTGGCGACGCGGAGAGGGGTCTTTCTGATGCCCTCTCTGTTGATATCTTCCCCTAAACCCTGCAACAAAACTTTGACAGCGTCCATTATAGCAACAGTTTCAGGTTCTTGCTCTTGCTCTTGTTCTTGTTCTACCCCGCAATGTTCCGCTTCATTCTCAAGCTCCAAATCCGAAAGCTCTTCCCCCGAAGCGTCCATTGAGGGCCGAATCCAAATCCGAATCCAAATCCAAATGGGAAGAAAGAAATGAAGAGATCAGATCAGGGGTAGAAGGAAACTGGAGTCCCCCACAACGAACAAATCAAATGCGCATCCGAAAGACAATGCATGCGGGTAAGGGGAAAGAAGCAGAAAATTGTAAGAAAGTGAAGCGAGGTAGAAGAATGAGATCCCGATTGTTGTTTGCAGAAGCTCTGCGTCTCCGTCCACCACAGTTCATAGAGACGTTATCTCTTTTGGAGAAATTGCTGTGGGAATGGTGCGTTTATGGCGCCATGCCATAGAGGGAAAGATAGAAGCTTACGGCCTTATGGGAATGATGGGAAAGTTGCGGCCCGGAGCGGTGAAAGCTGTGCTGATTGCGAATGTTGATGGAACAGATAGGGCCCACTGTGTTTTCCCATTTTTCTATTTTACTTTTTTTTTTCTCCTTTTTCTATCAAATCTTTTCGTTTTTTTTTTAATTAAAATATTGTTTTGGTATAGAGCAAAAGCTAGAAGGTCTAAAATGATATTTTAATTTTTTTTATTATGGAGAAATAATAGCTTAATTATGTTGAAGTTGCTATCTTAAAAACTTGAAAAGAAAGCATTTACTCAAAAAGAAGCATACACCAACCATATGATATTCTATTGGAGGATAAATTCTTGCTTTCGATTTCATTTCAGTACTTTAATTTATTGTTCATATTAATAATGGTGTTGATTTTTACCACGATTTTCCTTTTTTGGAAAGTGATATTGGCAATAATTTGATGGGGACACTAACACCCCAATTTAAACAATTCTAATAATACAATTGAGTTTTTCGTTTTTTCTTTACTACTAATTTCATTTTAGTCCTTTTTTTTATTTTTTTTTTCCGTTCGATGCTTGAACATTCGTGTCAGTTTATGTGTCTCTTGACTAATCTTTCGTGACAATTGTAAAACTTTACGACATAATTGCCATGAAATGTTAGGATTTCATCATAGATAGATGGCTACCATGAACTTTGTAGATGAATAGTTCTTTTCTTTTTAAATTTTAAATATGAAAGATTGACTTCAAATATGTGTATTAACATGCTAACATCAGCGAACGTGACTATTTGGTTAGATATGACATGTGTACAAGTTAGATCTCGTTGAAGGAGTGTGGATCGAATAGTCCACATCAGCGGATGACTCATCAAGGGTGCCAAAAGACTCCCTCGTGTCCACCTAATTAACCTATCTTCAAGACCTTATGGCATGCCCCTATGTTGTGACACGTAGACAAAAGCAAGTCTTATCACCAACGATACAATAATGCACACATCTACTCGATAGTCTCCCACCAAAACTTATGTGTTCTGATATGTGCTCTAAAGCCTTTTATTTTTTATAAATAAAATAATTATGAGAAAAATATGTGCAATATCTATAATATATTCTATGAAAATTTCAAGTCATTGATGCAGTCTTAAACCGATACATATGTTCAAATAGTACGTAATATATAGTGTCTATAGTATACGGATGTGATTGATTTCCTATCCTAGAAATAATGTTGATACAATCCGTTTTGTAAATGTTACAAATGATTTGATTCTAAATTGTTCATGTGGAGACATGAATGCGAGTGGGCCGGGGGGAATCATATACACACAATAAATTTATACAAAATCGATGTTGGGATGTATGCTCTTAGCTCATGACATAAATGTAATGAATTTAATGTGCATCCTGTCTCTAGCATCTAACATCTGGCATTTAATGATTAATTGTTCCTAACGCTGGAAGTTAGAATGGATCCAGTCAGCATGCACAACAAAAGCATGTGCTAGAAATCAATTTATTAAATTTTGATCGATTACCGTTGAGATGACAAACGTAGCATAGAAAGATTTATAATATACTTGTGTTAGAATTTTTTGAGAGAGAAGAGGAATAACTTCTTCTTTGGTGGCTACTAAGGAGAGGATGGAGTGCCCTAGTATTTGGCCTCTGAGTCTCTTTAATAAAACCTTAATGAACTAATTAATTATCTAATTTATTATGAAATTTTAAATTTACAATGAGTGTTAAAACTCCCATCTCATGAGTTTTATGGGCACTCCCTTGAGGCGAACCAAGTCAAATTCCATTAAATTAATAATAAATATAATTTATTATTAAAAGTCAAATTTATAAAAACATTTTAGTTCTAAATTAGATAATGGACATTTATATCTAATTTTCTCCCAATTTAATTGTTCACTCGAGTGAGCCAACAAAACTCTCAAGACAAGTCTTTAATGACTCAAAATTGAATGGATTATTAATTCTATGGGCACATAATTAACTCAAATTAACCTATATTTCTATGAAATCTTAATCATAGGTAAATAGCTTTAATGAATAAGAATTTTAACGATCTTTAGATGACGTCTAAATCTCGAGAGGATCTAAAAAGGTACCTCCCTCGAGCGTTATATTTTAAGTCAAAAGATAAATCAATCTATGACCACTAGATCAAAAGCATCAAACAAACAAAAAACATAAACATAAGTGTTTGGGGAAGAAAATACCCTGGACACGTGGAGGACCCCTATTGGTGCTCCAAGATGACTCATGAGTCATGCCCAGCTCGGACCGTCGAGATCACCACCACTAGCGTCGACAGATGCTAAGTATGAGGGCCGAGGTGCGACCTGGCCAAGGTCCGATCTACCGGGAAGCTCGGTGGGGGCCGATGTGAGCTATTGTCAGCGGCGTGATTATCGGGTGTAACCGTCGGTCCCGAGATTACCGGATGTAACCGCCGCGAGATTAGCGGGACTACCACCCATAAGTAGAGGACCTCACTCCACGATCAGGTACGATGATTCTTTGACCTCGAACTAAACTGGGAATCCGACCTATACTGAGTTGATCGTCGGAGTGCTCACCCTTTTGTAGGTCCGCCCAAGCGTTCAGATCGGTCCGGAGACCGAGTTCGAGCTGTAATCAGAAATACACTGTTGTGCATGTCCTTGCATAAACAATAAGCATAACATGATTTCATATTTGGTGTTTATAGCTGTAAAAAAGAAGAATATTTAAAAAAATCCTCTTCTTGGAAACACCACAAAACAAACGACATGTGAATTTCTGTACATGAAAGGATGATTCAAATAAGTTTTGGTTCCCCAGTTGACATTAATATATAATATTAATTAATATATATTTAAAGAAACTGCCGATCTAAGGGACTCAGTTTCAACGATCATCGGAGAACAGCCGATCGGGTTCTCTGAAATGGCAACAGAAGGCGTTTCTCCTATCCACGCAGATCATGAGCTCATAACTTCCCAAGAAGAATTTCTGGGTATTCTAATAATTTACTGCCCACCATTGATTTACTCTAGTTTCCACCATTTTTTTTTTTTTACATTTTACTGCTTGTTTTTTACAGAAGGATTTCAAAAGTGGCTAGATCTAGATGCAGGGCGAAACAATAGGCTTTTGGGCGGCAGCCAGAAGAAGAATGTATCATTAACAGATCTGGAATCACGACTTTCTACTGGTAAACTACTTAGAGTCGGTTTGGCAACGTACTTTTCTATTTCGCAAAGGTGAATTGCATGGCTAGAATGATAAAACAAAGTTTTTATTCATGTTGGATTGAATCGGAAGCGAGAATAAAAATAAAAAACTAAATTTATATACAATTTTGAAAATGTTGCTGAAAAAAAGAGAAAAAAGAAACATTAATAGTTGCCGATTGGTTGAGAAATGAAAAAATTTAACAATGTCCTTAATTTCTATTTTCTATTCCTCGATTTTTATTTTTTTTTTCTTTTTCCTTTTCATTTTCGTTTAAGCAGCGAGGAATAAGAGAGAAAAGTATGGCCGCATCGGCACACTGCCAGATGAAAAGACCTCTTTGGCCTCGAGACATCAACAAAATATGGGTAATTTTTAGATTTAATATTTCTGCTTTTGGTAAAATTATACAAAACGCTTATCTTTCTAAGTAGGTTTTGGAACAAAAGTTTGTAATTTTCGTTATAATTATGGTAATCAAAATGCGCTCATATAATGTATGTAGTTGTTTTTAGTTTAACAATATGTTTAAAAATTTTTAAATTTACCCCCAATCATTTAATTCTTGTTAGGTATTTTAAGGCAAGTTTCAGTATTGAAGCATTTTCAATATTAGGGTAAAATTGAAATTCAGTACATAAATCAAGGTTAAGAGTGTTCTTCATCTAGAACAAAATAATTAATAACATTCTTACTTTATTTTTTTTAGTTGGAATACCAATTACGCTGAGTTATATGTACCGCTGAGTTATATGTAAAATTTGACCTATATTTTTCTTTATATAGATTTTGTGCCAAAACTCCGTGGACCCATTAACCCCCTGTTTGTACACTTCATTTGGGAATTGTAAAATCTTAACCGATTTTGGCCTTTAAATAAAGAAAAAAAGAATTTAAAATCCTAAATGATTTAAAATTCTGTTTTTGGTTTAAATATATTCCGTTCAAAATAGATCGGATTCGGGAGAAATTCCCATTTTAGGGCTAAGGTATTGGTCGTTTTAGTTGGAGAGAATTTTAAAAATAGTAGTCTAATTCGTTGGTTATCTATTTCCCTTACAAATACAATTTTCATTTTAATAAATAAAAATGTTTCATTCATATCATTTCTCTTTTTCTTCTTCCAGTTAGGTTGTGGTCTTCATTCTTGTTGCAATTTGTGGGATTTAAACATGCCTCGTTTATTTTGGAATGAGTATGGTAATGAAAATCAATCATTCCATGTGTAATCGTAATCAAACATATGACCGACGATTATCAAAACACTTTTGTAAGATTTTTTATATTGAAAAAAATAATTACCTATAATAATTTTTAGATCTACTTTATATTATTTTACTTTTTTTTGAAAAGATATATTATTTTTTTGTAGTAATAAATTATATCTTTTGTATTTAAGTCTAAAAAAATCTTTACACTTTATTTGATATTATTATTACATTATTTATTATAATACATTTTCTTTTACAAGTTTAATTTAAAATTAAATAATTTGTTTAAAAAATACAGAAGTAAATAATGTTCAAATGCACCCAGGAAACGGAGTTAGGAGCATTCAAATTCAAAGGGTAGAGGAGCAAGGAGAGCAGTTGGAAAAAAAAAATCCTAAAAGAGAGCAGAAAATCGTGAGTATATACGAGAGAGAAAAGAAAATTGGTAAAATAATAAAAGAAATGTATCGTGTGTCATACATAATAATAAGGAATAGGAATGAGATTACATATGTATATTCGGAGTGTAATGAGATTACACATTTTTTTGGGAGTTATTCCCAAATTTATAAGGATGGGGCCCACTTTTTATTCTCAACGCCTTCAAATACTTCACTCATACCCAAGGCTGAGTTGTTTAGCCGTTAAAATTGTTATTACTAGGTTTAACAGTTGTAACCAATTTGGTTAATTTACTCTTTTTATCCTAGAGGACTTTTAAGTGAGGAGGGTATGTGAATACTCGGTAATTGTTTTGAAGACTCTTAAGCTCATAATAGAACTTCTCTCTGACTCGAAAGTGGATGTAGACTTCGATCGAACCACTATAATTCCGAGTTTGTTCTTCTCCTTCAATCTCTCTCAACTTATTCATTCTTCAATTTGTTAGAATTTGGGTTTTTGGTTATCACTACAGGTAAAATACAATCACAGCGACTGAAAATGTTGATTACGATTCCTTGATTACAATTACAGGACTTTATATCAATTCTATTAAGGCAACCCTATCAAATAGTTGATTTGTAAATTTGCAACCCAAAGAGATATATTTTTCAAATTTAGAAGTGTGATTCAATTTAGATTACAATGACACAACTTGCAATTACTTCTTTAGTTTATTAAGGTTTACAGTAATTTTTTCTTATTTTACTTTTTATTTTAGAAAGACGAGAAGGTTATTCGCTCGACGAAATAAAGAAGATAACAAAAGAATGTTTCGAGCTTTTGAATCGGGGACTCGGCAAGAATCATGACAAAAAGTTTTTATTTGATGCTGCCAAAATACTTTCACAATCGGATGTATCCGTGGAAAAGGAAGTCAAAGGTTAGTTTATTGAAATAATTTTATACTTCGATATTTATCGGTGATAAAAGACAAATAAGTATTTTCATTGGATAGTTTTGCGTTGATTGCCGATTTTTGGGTCAGTGCTACGTAAGTCTGGTGTGGTGTTCTACCATATGTACTTTGATGTTTGAGTTAGAATATTTAAGATGGGTGCAAATAGGTATGGGGCAAGTAGGATAAGAAATAGTAATTTTGGAATTGTTAAGGACAACGGTACCCCTAATACCCTGAGTATCTCCACAATGGTACGATATTGTCCACTTTGGACATAGCCCTCACGACTTTCCTTTTGGTTTCATCCAAAAACCTCATAACAATGGAGATAATTATCCTATCTTATATACCATGATCATTTCATTCTCCAGTCAACGAGGGGCTTTGTTTGCACTCTTCTTGAAAACCCAACAGAAATGAGAATCTACTTGAGAGTGTATCAAATTTGTCACAGGGAGTTGCGTAAGGAAATTCCGTTTACCTTACTAGGATTTTGATTCCCCCTTAATATAAATGGAGGGTGAAGAATATTAAGAGAAGGTGAGGCAGACATGGAGCCAGAGTGTAACAACAGGAGATCATGGAAACCACCGACATTTTTCGTTCCACTGTGCGTTGCAAAAAGGGGCACAATGACGTCCTGTGCGATCCTTTAGAGCATGCTGGATTGAGGTAGTGTAGGGTGTTAGTGCCTTGACCACTGGTTGTCTCTTGTGTGGGTTGCCCAGGTGAGCTCGACTGCTTAAATCAGTATGCTTGGAAATGGGCTCCATACGATCTTTCGTCGCAGTTTTCCCGTTTGTTATTAACATGGACAACGTTGGTCGATTGGAGATTGGACGTGTGTCACCTTAGATTTACCCAATAACAATGATATCTCTTCGTTTCACTGAGCCTCTTCCCTTGGCCGAGGAACCAACTGATTTTTTAGAGTTAAGGTGCCACACGTTCTTTTCGACTCTAGTGGGGTATTTGCTTGCACCTCACTCTCGAGTGGACACATATCAGTTCTGATTTTTAGGAAAACGTCTTTTGGTTTGTCTTGCACTTTAATGTTACGCCATCAACATTTCATACTGCGAGATGCGTTTAAGTCACTTTGTTTGTCCTTTATTTGTATGCCTCAAGGCACACTGACTGGTCTTCTGATGGATGGCAATTTCGTGCCGATTAGATTCTTTCTACATCTATTTTTAAGAGGTAGTGGAGGACTCACATTCGTCCATTACTTTTGATACGCGACAATTCAAGCGTAGGAATTTCTTAAGCCTCTAACCATTTCAATCCAATTGTATAGTTGCTTCAAATCAAAAGGGAACAGTTAGATGAATTACCTTTGCAGTCAAATACCACGAGCAGCCGAATATTCAATATGCTTGAGGTCGGAAACACTCCACGAGTTTGGTGACCAACTAAACAAGCATGCTTAGAAGCAAATATGTACCCTAAGTTCAACCACATAAAGGATAACAATATTTTGGAGGAGGGGGGATTTGCACGAGACAAAGTTTGAGAGAAAACTCTCAACCCAAATTTTATTTTCATCATAAATCTATCTCAACTAAAGAGGAAACACCTATTTAGAGGCGAAGGCCAAAGACATTTACAAGTTATTTTGCAAAATAAAAATAAACCTAAAATCTAAGGAAAAATAAAATACAAAACATATTTGCTAAAATCGTAAATATGACTTGCCTAAAGTGCTAGAAATAATTATTTTAAACAAAATAATGCAAATTAGATCTAAAACAAAATTTAAGACAAATTAAAATAGTTTTCAAAACAAATAAGGAAAATTCATTCCTTAAATGAATTGGAGTGGGCAGCAAGTAAACTAAAAATGGCGGTAAGGTCGGGGTGTTCGCATGGGGGTGGTTGACGGGGCAACC